TCTCTACTGGAGGAGACAGAGGACTGGTGTCTCTACTGGTGCAGACAAAGGACTGGTGTCTCTACTGGAGGAGACAGAGGACTGGTGTCTCTGCTGGAGGAGACAGAGGACTGGTGTCTCTACTGGAGGAGACAGAGGACTGGTGTCTCTACTGGAGGAGACAGGACTGGTGTCTCTACTGGAGGAGACAGGACTGGTGTCTCTACTGGAGGAGACAGAGGACTGGTGTCTCTACTGGAGGAGACAGAGGACTGGTGTCTCTACTGGAGGAGACAGAAGACTGGTGTCTCTACTGGAGGAGACAAAGGACTGGTGTCTCTACTGGTGGAGACAGAGGACTGGTGTCTCTACTGGAGGAGACAGAGGACTGGTGTCTCTACTGGAGGAGACAGAGGACTGGTGTCTCTACTGGTGGAGACAGAGGACTGCTGTCTCTACTGGAGGAGACAGAGGACTGGTGTCTCTACTGGTGGAGACAGAGGACTGGTGTCTCTACTGGAGGAGACAGAGGACTGGTGTCTCTACTGGAGGAGACAGAGGACTGCTGTCTCTACTGGTGGAGACAGAGGACTGGTGTCTCTACTGGAGAAGACAGAGGACTGGTGTCTCTATTGGAGGAGACAGAGGACTGGTGTCTCTACTGGTGGAGACAGAGGACTGGTGTCTCTACTGGTGCAGACAAAGGACTGGTGTCTCTACTGGAGGAAACAGAGGACTGGTGTGTCTACTGGAGGAGACATAGGACTGGTGTCTCTACTGGAGGAGACAGAGGACTGGTGTCTCTACTGGTTGAGACAGAGGACTGGTGTCTCTACTGGTGGAGACAGAGGACTGGTGTCTCTACTGGTTGAGACAGAGGACTGGTGTCTCTACTGGTGGAGACAGAGGACTGGTGTCTCTACTGGAGGAGACAGAGGACTGGTGTCTCTACTGGAGGAGACAGAGGACTGGTGTCTTTACTGGTTGAGACAGAGGACTGGTGTCTCTACTGGTGGAGACAGAGGACTGGTGTCTCTACTGGAGGAGACAGAGGACTGGTGTCTCTACTGGAGGAGACAGAGGACTGGTGTCTCTACTGGAGGAGACAACGGACTGGTGTCTCTACTGGAGGAGATAGAGGACTGGTGTCTCTACTGGAGGAGATAGAGGACTGGTGTCTCTACTGGAGGAGACAGAGGACTGGTGTCTCTACTGGAGGAGACAGAGGACTGGTGTCTCTACTGGTGGAGACAGAGGACTGGTGTCTCTACTGGAGGAGACAGAGGACTGGTGTCTCTAATGGAGGAGACACAGGACTGGTGTCTCTACTGGAGGAGACAGAGGACTGGTGTCTCTACTGGAGTAGATAGAGGACTGGTGTCTCTACTGGAGGAGACAAAGGACTGGTGTCTCTACTGGTGGAGACAGAGGACTGGTGTTTCTACTGGACGAGACAGAGGACTGGTGTCTCTACTGGAGGAGACAGAGGACTGGTGTCTCTACTGGAGGAGACAGAGGACTGGTGTCTCTACTGGTGGAGACAGAGGACTGGTGTCTCTACTGGTGGAGACAGAGGACTGGTGTCTCTACTGGAGGAGTCAGAGGACTGGTGTCTCTACTGGAGGAGACAGAGGACTGGTGTCTCTACTGGTGCAGACAAAGGACTGGTGTCTCTACTTGAGGAGACAGAGGACTGGTGTCTCTACTGGTGCAGACAAAGGACTGGTGTCTCTACTGGAGGAGACAGAGGACTGGTGTCTCTACTGGAGGAGACAGAGGACTGGTGTCTCTACTGGAGGAGACAGAGGACTGGTGTCTCTACTGGAGGAGACAGAGGACTGGTGTCTCTACTGGTGCAGACAAAGGACTGGTGTCTCTACTGGAGGAGACAGAGGACTGGTGTCTCTACTGGTGCAGACAAAGGACTGGTGTCTCTACTTGAGGAGACAGAGGACTGGTGTCTCTACTGGTGCAGACAAAGGACTGGTGTCTCTACTGGAGGAGACAGAGGACTGGTGTCTCTACTGGAGGAGACAGAGGACTGGTGTCTCTACTGGAGGAGACAGAGGACTGGTGTCTCTACTGTTGCAGACAAAGGACTGGTGTCTCTACTTGAGGAGACAGAGGACTGGTGTCTCTACTGGTGCAGACAAAGGACTGGTGTCTCTACTGGAGGAGACAGAGGACTGGTGTATCTACTGGAGGAGACAGAGGACTGGTGTCTCTACTGGTGCAGACAAAGGACTGGTGTCTCTACTGGAGGAGACAGAGGACTGGTGTCTCTACTGGAGGAGACAGAGGACTGGTGTCTCTACTGGAGGAGACAGAGGACTGGTGTCTCTACTGGAGGAGACAGGACTGGTGTCTCTACTGGTGGAGACAGAGGACTGGTGTCTCTACTGGTGCAGACAAAGGACTGGTGTCTCTACTGGAGGAGACAGAGGACTGGTGTCTCTACTGGAGGAGACAGAGGACTGGTGTCTCTACTGGAGGAGACAGAGGACTGGTGTCTCTACTGTTGCAGACAAAGGACTGGTGTCTCTACTTGAGGAGACAGAGGACTGGTGTCTCTACTGGTGCAGACAAAGGACTGGTGTCTCTACTGGAGGAGACAAAGGACTGGTGTCTCTACTGGAGGAGACAGAGGACTGGTGTCTCTACTGGTGCAGACAAAGGACTGGTGTCTCTACTGGAGGAGACAGAGGACTGGTGTCTCTGCTGGAGGAGACAGAGGACTGGTGTCTCTACTGGAGGAGACAGAGGACTGGTGTCTCTACTGGAGGAGACAGGACTGGTGTCTCTACTGGAGGAGACAGGACTGGTGTCTCTACTGGTGGAGACAGAGGACTGGTGTCTCTACTGGAGGAGACAGAGGACTGGTGTCTCTACTGGAGGAGACAGAGGACTGGTGTCTCTACTGGAGGAGACAGAAGACTGGTGTCTCTACTGGAGGAGACAAAGGACTGGTGTCTCTACTGGTGGAGACAGAGGACTGCTGTCTCTACTGGAGGAGACAGAGGACTGGTGTCTCTACTGGAGGAGACAGAGGACTGGTGTCTCTACTGGTGGAGACAGAGGACTGCTGTCTCTACTGGAGGAGACAGAGGACTGGTGTCTCTACTGGTGGAGACAGAGGACTGGTGTCTCTACTGGAGGAGACAGAGGACTGGTGTCTCTACTGGAGGAGACAGAGGACTGCTGTCTCTACTGGTGGAGACAGAGGACTGGTGTCTCTACTGGAGGAGACAGAGGACTGGTGTCTCTATTGGAGGAGACAGAGGACTGGTGTCTCTACTGGTGGAGACAGAGGACTGGTGTCTCTACTGGTGCAGACAAAGGACTGGTGTCTCTACTGGAGGAAACAGAGGACTGGTGTGTCTACTGGAGGAGACATAGGACTGGTGTCTCTACTGGAGGAGACAGAGGACTGGTGTCTTTACTGGTTGAGACAGAGGACTGGTGTCTCTACTGGTGGAGACAGAGGACTGGTGTCTCTACTGGAGGAGACAGAGGACTGGTGTCTCTACTGGAGGAGACAGAGGACTGGTGTCTCTACTGGAGGAGACAACGGACTGGTGTCTCTACTGGTGGAGACAGAGGACTGGTGTCTCTACTGGAGGAGACAGAGGACTGCTGTCTCTACTGGAGGAGACAGAGGACTGCTGTCTCTACTGGTGGAGACAGAGGACTGGTGTATCTACTGGAGGAGACAGAGGACTGGTGTCTCTACTGGTGGAGACAGAGGACTGGTGTCTCTACTGGAGGAGCCAGAGGACTGGTGTCTCTACTGGAGGAGACAGAGGACTGGTGTCTCTACTGGTGGAGACAGAGGACTGCTGTCTCTACTTGTGGAGACAGAGGACTGGTGTCTCTACTGGAGGAGACAGAGGACTGGTATCTCTACTGGAGAAGACAGAGGACTGGTGTCTCTACTGGTGGAGACAGAGGACTGGTGTCTCTACTGGAGGAGACAGAGGACTGCTGTCTCTACTGGTGGAGACAGAGGACTGGTGTCTCTACTGGAGGAGACAGAGGACTGGTGTCTCTACTGGTGGAGACAGAGGACTGCTGTCTCTACTGGTGGAGACAGAGGACTGGTGTCTCTACTGGTGGAGACAGAGGACTGGTGTCTCTACTGGAGGAGACAGAGGACTGGTGTCTCTACTGGTGGAGACAGCTGACTGGTGTCCCTACTGGTGGAGACAGCTGACTGGTGTCCCTACTGGTGGAGACAGAGGACTGGTGTCTCTACTGGAGGAGACAGAGGACTGGTGTCCCTACTGGTGGAGACAGAGGACTGGTGGTAGCTACAACACAACATCCATTCACACAGTGATAATGATGAGCTATGTCGTAGACACAGCTGTTCTGGGACACACTGAAAGAAGCCATCGGCCCCTCCACCCACCACTAGACGGTGAAGTGTCTTGCCCAAGGACACGACTTCCACAGACAGAGCCTGTGATTTAAATGGCAACCCAAATGGCTGCCTACAGGGTCAACTCTTTTGCCACCGTCGCCCAATGTTACGCTGATGATCTTCAGTTCTATTTATTCATGAAGCCTGAGGAACCCAATCAGGTAATCAGATTACCAGCAGGTCATAAAGACCTAGACAAGTCTTTACTGACTAGTGTTAAACTTAGACTAGGTTTGGAGGTGTGGACCTGAGCTCAGGACCAACCTGTAGTCCTTCATGAACGTGTCCTCCAGAACTAATGTTGGGAACCGTGGTGTTTTTCTGGACCAGCATCCTTTAACTCCATCTAAACATGACACTAGGGCCTTCTTCTTCCATCGTGCTGCTTAAGGCAGGATCTTCCTGGCCCAAAGTGCTGCAGATAAACTTGTCCATGAAGACCTGATTATAATTGGCTATGACCAGGGTGATAGGTGCTAGAGGTGCTCTTAGAGCCTCCAGCTGAGGGTCACCTGTGTTCAGCACCTGTTCAGCGTGACAGGTGAAAAGACCTCATGTTTCTGAAGGAGATAGTCCGGATCAAATCCAGGTGAGTTGGTACCTGTGATGAAGCTTACGGTGGAGCTGTCGCAGCAGGTGAGCGGCGGCTCGCCCCATGTCACCATGGAAACTCTGAAGCTGTAGTACCAGGCGGGCAAAAGGTCGGTGACTCTCTGGGAAGAAACAGAGCAACAACCTGAGAACGGACATCATCACAAGAACTCAGCTGAGATGGGACTCTGGTTACCACTGAGGCGATGACAGAGGCGGTGGCGGCAATCTCGTAGTAGGTGGTCCACTCGGACGCCAGCGTGACGGGGTTAAAGAAGAATGTTTGCAGGATGTACTTCCTGAAGGCTACATGGTACGGACGCTGCCAGCTCAAAATCACCGCTGTCGGGCTCAGAGGGTAAACGGTGAGCTCACGAACACCTGTGGGCTCTGACACAGAACACACCTGTATCAGTCACACTCCACCTCTTTAACCAGAGCCTGAAAACGTAACGAGGTAACCACCGATGTCGATGATGACAGGCTCTGATGGAGGGCTGATCAGAGGTCCGTTGGTGTGATAGACCACCACGCGATACTGAGCGCCAGGGGTCAGGTTACTGATGATGTCACTCGTTGAGTTTTCCTGTAGAGAACCAAACAGGTGATTAACATCAGCTGTGGGCAGAGCTTTGAGACGAGCCTCACTCGTCCACCACTCTTGGGTTTTTTACAGTAGGGAGCACTTACTGCACTTATTACGGTAATACCTGCGAGGGGTTTATTGTGAATTTTTAAACATCTTTTTATTTAACCAGACGAGTCGATTCAGACCTCGTTCTCATTTACAACGACCATCTGGCTAAAAGGCAGCACATAGTTAGCTTTACACCAGAGAACAACAGATAAGATCAAAGCAGATAAAACACATAAAGGACTGTTCTCATGTATGATATATACAATCAAAACAGGCTTAAGCAGGAGAAACTATTGATGGTAATGAATTATTGAAGGCAGATAATGGAAAGTGTGAAACGTGAAAGTCCACCTTACGGGCCGGAACATACTTGCTTTTATTCTCGTGTTGGCGCAGCTAGCTTCTTTGTTCACATGTATGCTGCGAGGCACTGCGCTGCATGTAGTACTAGTGTGTTCCTCCAGGGGGCACATCAGACTACTCCGACAGGATAGAGAGACAGGAAGTGATGGAGATAAGGAGACGCAGACACACCATGAACAGAGACAACGGTGGATCACACACGGGACGGTGTTATCAGTATGAAGGATGCAGCCATCAGAGGGCGACATCATCCTCTGATGGCCGCACATAAACGGAAGCGGTGCCACGAACAGCTGGCGGCTCCGACGAAGGCGGAAGTTCCGGCCGAAACATGTCAGCCGAAGCTAAAAAAAACATCCAATTACTGCTCTGTGTTGAATAAGCATAGTAGCATAGCATAGCATAGTTTATTTATATAGCACGTTTAAAATGCAGCATGGGAGCTGCCCAAAGTGCTGCACAGGCTAAAACAAAACACAACCATTCCAAGGCGCTAAAACAAAGGAAACAAATCTCAATCAAAGGCAGATAAACCATGATGAATACTAAGAACACATAAAAACAATGACACAATGAAACACTAAAATGAGTCACTGTCTAAAAGCCAAAGTGTAAAAGTGGGTCTTTAAACGAGATTTAATAACCACCAGAGATGGAGCCTGCCGAACTCCAATGGGCAATGAGTTCCATAGCTTTGGGGCAGCATGGACAAATGCTCGTTCACCCCGTGATTTGAGTCTCATCCGCGGCGTGTACAGCAGCAAAAGGTCAGCCGACCTCAACGTGCGGGTGGGCACATATGGAGTGAGAAGGGCAGAGAGGTAGGGAGGTGCCAGGTCATTGAGTGCTTTAAAAACAAAAGTCAGTAACTTAAACTGCACTCTGAAAATGACAGGGAGCCAGTGAAGATGTGCCAGGACAGGGGTAATGTGGCTACGTCGGTGTGTACCCGTCAAGAACCGGGCAGCAGCGTTCTGAACAACCTGCAGCCGATTCAGGGCAGAGTCCGGAACACCAATGAGGAGGGCATTTGCATAGTCCAGGCGAGAGGTAATGAATGCATGAATGGCTGACTCCAAATGCCTCCGTTTCAGGATTCGTCTGAGGTGAGTAAGGCGGCGAAGCTGATAAAAACAAGACCTCACTACAGAGTTTATCTGTGGGGCCATTGTGAGTCCAGCATCCAGCTTGACCCCGAGACTCGTCACACACTGTTTGGGGTTAAAGGTTAAAAGGTCACAAACAGGGTGAGAGCCATGGTGGTTGCGGGGGTCAAAAACAATAAACTCAGACTTCTTTTCATTCAGTTTTAAGAAGTTGGATCCCAGCCAGCCCTTCACGTCATCCATACATGCAGCAAATTTCGAGCCCGCATTTTTCTCGTCCATTTCCACGTATAGCTGACAGTCATCTGCGTAGACGTGATAGCTCAGGCCATGCTGATTCAGAATATTGCCCAGAGGCAGAAGGTAGATAGAAAACAGCAATGGCTCAAGAACGGAACCTTGTGGCACCCCCAAGGCAGTGGAAGACTGGAGGATGCACAGTCACCAATCTGTACAGAGATGGTACGGTTTGATAGGTAGGAGCGGAACCATTTAAGCGCCACCCCCGTCACCCCAACCCAAGACCCAAGCCGATCCAGTAAAATTTGGTGATAGACCGTATCAAAAGCCGCTGAAAGGTCCAGCTGGAGCAGCAGTACCACAGACCCAGAGTCAGATGCCACCAGAATGTCATTTAGCACCCTAATCAAAGCAGACTCAGTGCTATGGTTTGGTCTAAAGGCTGACTGAAACACATCCAGCAACGAGTTGCTATTCATATGGGCAGAGATCTGGCCATGCACAATTTTCTCAAGGACCTTCGAGAGAAACGGGACTTTCGATATAGGGCGGAAGTTCTCATAAGTGGAGAGATCCAAACCAGGTTTTTTCAATATCGGCTGAACAACCGCATCTTTAAAAACCTTAGGGAACACTCCAGTGCTGAGGCTAATGTTAAAAATGTTCATGAGTGCCGGGCTCAGCGCAGACACCAAGTCACGCACCAATTTAGCTGGGAGGCAGTCCACCGAAGAGCCAGCTGGCTTCATGGAGCTAATCAGTTTCATCAAGTCAGCAAGCTGAACTAGAGCAAGGTCTGAGAAGGCAGGTGGGTCCGGCGGTTCCACATGGATAGTGTGTATTTGAGGCTGGAGGCTAAGCCTAATACCAAGGATCTTGTTGAGGAAAAAGCTCTGTAGCTCTGTGCACAAAGCAACAGTGGGATTTAGACCATCAGACTCATTTAACAGCAGCAAGGAGTTAACTGTGCTGTACAGCCTGGACTGGTCTCCATGATGCTGTGAAACGATAGCAGAAAAATAGTTATTACGAGCAGATCTAACTGCTCTCTGGTAGCGTGAAAGTGCATCAACCAGGAGCAGCCGAGAGCATGACAGTCTGTCTCTCTTCCACCTCCGTTCCAGCACCCTACACTGTCGCCTGAGGCTACGGGTGTCATCATAAGAAAGAAGAATATTTTTTTAATTATTAAAATGACAAAAAAACTAAACCTGTGATTAAAAAATGTAAGAAAAGGGAGAGAAAGTGAGTAGGAAGGAGGGAAATCAGTGGATTTGGGAAAGTTGAAGATGGCAGAAAGAGCAGAACAAGGAGAGGTGATGAAGGTCCCACCAAACCTGAACAGGTGAGTTTAAAGGAGACCACTGAGTCCACTGATCTCAGGCTCAGGGGGAGAGAGGTCCAGAGTCTGGGGGCCACAGCAGCAGCAGATCTGTCACCTTTGACCTTTAGCCTGGTGCTGCACAACCAGTAGGCTTTGATCACTGGACCTCAGGGACCTGCTGGGGGTGTAGGGACTGAGAAGATCACCAATGTAAGATGGTGCTTGTCCATGTAAGGCCCTATAGACCAGAACCAGGATCTTGAAATGAACCCTGAAGTTGACTGGCAGTTCGGTATGAAAGACCATTAACCAGAGACGGAGTGACATTGGTGAGCGTGTCTCACGTGTTTTGTTAACTCCACCCACTGGTTACTCGTTTATTGCAGCGTGCGAATGAGTCGCATTAATCTCGGGAGACGAGCACAAACAATGCTTCAAGTCAATGCCAGTTACGCGAGGCAGCCATTTTAAACACGAGCATGTGTCGTAAAAGTGTTGCAAGCTCCTGCATGCCAGAACCACAGAAGGTAATAAAGGAGGTCACAAAGGAAGAGGTTACTATGGGAGAGGTCACAAGGAAAGCAAAGATAAGCGGGAGCCTGCTGATGCGAGTGGAATCAGGCAGGTGAAAAAGAGAAGTGGACCAACTGAAGGAAGCATCACAGGATGTGAAGCCCTCCGAGGGGGGGGGGGGGGGGGGGGTTGAACTTTGGATGAACCTGAAACCATCTTACAAAATACAATGATCACATTGTTTGGCTGTCTTGTGATTGACTGATATATGTAATGCAAATTGCTCCACTCTGAAAAAGTGCTTGTAACATGAAAATGCTATACAACGGAAAATGCTTTGCTTTGCAGTTTTTAGAATGATATATAAGAGCAGCTAGGAGTAGTTAGGAGAGAGTGGCAGTGAGTTGCAGGAAGTGTGTGTGTGCGTAGTGGAGGAGAGTTGATGAGAGCAGTTGTTCTCAGAGAGAGATTTAGAAGCAGCCTCCTCGCGAGGGGATATTTAGTCTTAGCTTTACTCTTTTTGTATTTTTAATTTTCAAATAAAATTTTTGGAAAAAGAATCCTCGTTCTCGATTCTTAAAGGACTCTTTTAGCCTTTGAGTGGGAGCCCCGACCAGACCTGGTAGCAAAGGTAAGCCGCCTTATTGCTCGTACCTGTACCTCCGGACTTGTTTCAGGTTGTGACAGATAAGAAAAGATACCTTAGGTAATGGGAGCTTAGTCTCTCCTCCTCCCTATTGTAGCGGGACATCCTAAGGGTGATAAACCATGATGGTTCGTTGGTTCAAACAGGCTCTGTTCTGCACGTGTGAAAAAGTCTCTGTTTAGCGTGGGAAGGAACCATTTCAAAGGGTGGATCGATTAGATGAATTGATAGATCCATGTTAGCCTGATCACCTAACGGGAATCATTTTCTAGTTACCACCGCCCACATATGCTGACAGAGGCGCAAATTAATCCTGATAGGACCCAAATAATAGTCAGCTGTGTTGGCCTCCAGTAACTCTCGCCCTAGTATTTAAAACCACTGAATAACGGGAACCTAGAAGGAGAGTGTGTTGTCACAGGACAACAAGTACGGCAGTTCTATTCCACCTTAAAATAGAAAACACGTTCTAATGGGGAGTCCAAACCAGGGTCTGTACAATAAAACTCACCGCGGCCTCAACCTCCCTGAAAAAGCAGCGTGTTCTAATGAAACCACTAAGTGGACGCTCGCGACAAAAGCAGGTATGTTCCAGACCTAAGAGTGAACATGACTGCTGGTGGTGGTTCTGATACCTCGCTGCAGTATGTGTTCTCCATCCTCTGGTTCAGGCTTGGCTTCAGGCAGGTGGTGGAGACCACCGACACCAGGCTGCCATTGTGGTTCTGGGAGGACGGGGCCCACGAGATGGCAGCAGTGCTGGAGTCCAGCAGTCTGACGCTGACGGCCTGTGGGCGGTCCCGCAGCTCCTCCAACAGCTCGCCATCAGAACCTGGACAAGTTCACGCCAACCCATCAGAACCAACACGTAGACAGGTGGTTCAGCATAGAGCAGGTAAATGACAGGATGCAGAACAGAACTTCAGACTCGTGGACTTACTGAGGTAGAAGGTGAAGCTGGTGTCGGCGCCGCTCTCTCGGACCTCGCAATCTCCAGACGAGCTGAGCGTGGTGACCTGTACGCGGTACGTTCCTGGGTCTGTTAACTGGGTGAAAAACTCGTGAGTGTTCTCGCTAACGGTGGCCGTCTCCGTGGAGTTACCTGGAGAAGAACCATAAAGCTTACATGTGTGGTTGACTTTAGTCAATACCTCAATGTCAACGCCTGGTGCATCACTCTGGAGAAAACAGCTCAGACGCGCCTGTTTGGGGTTTTCTGCGGTGTTGAAGTCTTTACGGCGACCACAGCCTTTCACACCGTGGTTACCAGTCTAACCGGTTAATCCTTGCAACCTCGTCTGAAGTGGGTCTAAACTGGTCAAAACTGGTCTCAAGTGGGACTGAACTGGTCTGAACAGAGTCTTAACTGGTCTGAAGCGGGTCCAAACTGGGTTGATGGGTTAGGGTCAGATAAAAAGTGGCGTTAGATCATTTGTTTTTATTATCTGGGATGAATATTTCCTATTTGTCTTTAATTCTGTAAACATGTGGAGGTTCAGCAGAGACGATGTCAGAACTGGAACCAGGACGAGGATTAGAGCTGCCTCTCACCATCTCTGTAGATGTAAACGTTGAAGCCGTCAAAGCTGGTCGGAGGTCGAGGTGGAAGCCAGTGGAGCTCCAGCAGGATGGGGGGAAGCCTGGTGGGGAGCACAGGGGGTTCTGTGGGAACCCCCATGGCTGACCCCAGATCATTGGAGTCCTCGTACTCTGCAACCACAGCGTTGACAAACTCCTCGTCTCTGTCATCAGGAGATGTCCCAGTCGGTTCCAGCCAGTAGCTTTGAGTCTCTGCCTCCTCCGTCTGGTTCCTGACGATAGGAACGTTTTCCATCTCGTTGTGAGAACTATTGAAGGGAACGTGGGTGGCTTCCAACTCCCGTTCCTGCTCCTCCTCCTCTAACAGTGAGACGTGCCGGGTCTGACGGGAGGAGGCCTTGACCTCGCCCACATCATGGACCTCACCGGCGACGGACTCCTGGCTCAGGTGGACTATTTTATACGACATGTTGAGGGGGGGGTATGGCACTGCAGGAAGGACAGAACCAGAGGGGGAGCATATTCACAGATCAGCTGATTCAGGTAAACAAAGCAGTCTGAAATCAGAACGACAACAGTTCATAGACGAGCTGAAACAGTCCGTCACTGAGACTTCAGGAAGAAGCCATTCCTTAACCTTTAAGCTGATTATAATACAGAATAATTCAGATGGACTCCAGCTGTGTGTCCTCATTAATCTGGTCATCAGCTGCTCCTCTTCCTCACATCCAGCAGCTCCTATAGGGAGCCTAAGTCTCCTCCCTTCCCGGTCAGCTCACGGGTCCCCAGAGGAACGAAAAAACAAACACAAGTCAACGGGCTGAAAACCCGCTTAGCCTTACGCCCTGGATCACGCATATGTTGTACTTAAAAAGTAATGATGGGTTCTAGCGACAACGTCCTCTGCTGCCAGCGGATAAACGGAGTAGGAAGTGACGCCACCATCGGCGTCAGCTCTGAGGATGTTTGCAGCCGCAAACGAAACGTTAGCAAGGTAAAGAAAAACCTTATCTGTGTTTAAAAAAGAACCAAAAATGGAATTAGAAGACAAACATGGCAAGAACGTACAAAAGATGTTTAAAGAAAAATACGGACAACAAGGAACAAAGGACTTCCACCGTTTGGAACGTTTACACCAGAAACGCGCACGTCTTAGGAACCACCTTCGTTTCAATCTAAGGCCCTGTCCACATGTAGGCGGGGATCTGCCTAAACGTAGATATTTTTCTACGTTTTGGCCTGTCGTCCACACGAAAACGGAGTTTTTTCACACAAAAACTGATCTTTTTAAAAACTCCGGCCAAAGTGAAGATCTGCGTTTTCTCCGTTTTGGGTGTCTGCGTGTGGACAGACAAAACCGGAGTTTTAAGGTCCGCAACGTCACTTTCCACGACAAATAAAATGCTGACATCACGTGTGCGACCTGTGTTTACACTAGCCGACAGCATGGAGGCCTTCAGAGCTGCGCTCTGTCACTACCCGATCCATCAATTGTCCAAGCGCTTTTTGCTCGTTTGTGTTTGCGAGTGGAATTACTGCTCCTGGCGGAAGACCACAGACGAAGGACGAGGTTAAGAACGGGGGAAGTACTGCCGCCTACAGGTCTGGCATGTCCTTAACAACGTATTTATCCGGGTACGTGTGGACAGAGTTTTTTTTTTAAACACGGTGGTGTGGATGCAAGTTTTTGGAGGGGCGGATATTCGTTTTCAAAAAACCCGGCTACGTGTGGACTAGGCCTGAGATGCCGGGATGAAAACATCACACCCACAAGCCTACAGCTGAAAACACCGATCCGGTCCAAGACAGCACAAAATATAATAGAAAGAGCACAGAGAGCACTGCTCAAGGAGAGGATAAGAAACGTCATAACCAAACAGAAGCAAGTGGAAAACGAACAGGAAAGAAGACACCTGGACTTAAAAAGGAATTACAAACTCGATAAACAAATGGAGGAACTCATAAAAGGACACATGATGGAAAAACAGGAAAGAGTTCACAAAAGTAAAAGAAAGACACATAAATAAGTTCAACAAAGTCATCAACAATAAAAAGAAGGAGGAAATACAAGATAACTCCACACAAAACTCATGGGTATGTAACATCTCACAGTACGAACTAACAGAAGCAGAAGAGAGCATATTAAAGAAAGGTTTAAACTTCGCAGTCACACCAAAAGAAATACCATATGATGAATTTATCGTAGCAACAGAACTAGCATGTCAACAGATCACAGATGAGGGAAAGAAAGCAGAACTCAGAAATAACGTAGTTGGGATATTAAAAAACAATCAGCCATGACAGCTTTATCCAAAAACGAACAGATAATTATTCTACCGGCAGATAAAGGAAGAACCACAGTAGTTATGGACAGAGAAACATATAAACATCAGATGAAACAGATGCTAGAGGACAAAATACATACAAAATACTTAAAAAAGACCCAACAGAAAACATTAAGAAAAACATGAAAAAAGCAAAATAACAGAAAAAATGTACAAACACTGGATTCCCACAGCAAACATAACACCAAGAATATATGGAACACCAAAAATACACAAACAAAACACCACTTAGACCAATAGTAGACAGCATAGGTACACCAACATACAACATGGCAAAAGATATCAGCAGAATCATCAGCCCGTTATTAGGAAACACAGACCAACACTGCAAAAATAGTATAGAACTGGCAAAAGAACTAAAGGAGATTACAATAGAAGACAACGACATACTCATCTCACATAACATCACATCCCTGTTCACAAAAACACCAACCCAAAAAACCATAGACATAGTAGTTAACAGAATCAGACAAGACAAGACTTTACACAAAAGGACAAACCTCACAGCAGATGACATAGCACAACTGATAGGACTGGTAGCTAACTCCACTTACTTCACATACGACATCACAATATACAAACAACTGGAAGGCTTCGCCATGGGTAACCCGTTATCAGCCACCCTGTGCCAGTTTTTCATGGAAGACCTGGAGCAGAAAGCCATAGCCACCGCCCCCCCAAACTGCAAAATTAAAATATGGAAACGCTACGTAGACGACATACTGGAAATCATACCAACAGGACAAACAGAAACACTAACACAACACTTGAATAACATTGACGACACGGGCAACATAAAATTCACTTATGAGTTAGAAACAGAAGGCAGCATAGCATTTATGGACATGAAAATCACCAGGCAGACCGACGGGACCCTAAACATAAACACATACAGGAAACCAACACACACAGACCAATATTTATTATGGACATCAGAACACCCCACCATACACAAAATGTCAGTACTCAGAACATTATATCACCGAGCAAACATGGTAACAGAAGAGAGAGACCGTAAACAAGAGGACAAACACATACAACACGCTTTAAAGACCTGCAGATACCCGACATGGGCAACAAACAAAGGAAAACAACAAACAACAGAAAGAAAAGAACAACCAAAGCAAAGAACCAGAAACCCAGAAAGACAAGAACCAGAACCAGTGATAACCCTACCATACATCAGAGGCATAACAGAAAAAATAAGAGCAACAATGAAAAAACACAACATAAACACACCAACAAAACCATACACAACAGTTAGAAACAGGCTAGTACACCCAAAAGACAAGATACCAGCTGGACTTAAATGTGGAGTCATTTACGTAATCCCATGCAAACTCTGCAATAAAACATACGTAGAAGAACCCGGACGCCAACTCAACACACGAACAATAAAACATAGAAAGGAGTGAGAGAAAGAAACAAGCCGAAAACACAAAAAAGCAGCAAAAGAAGAAGCAGAAAGCACATTAAAGAAGTCAGCCGTAACAGATCACTGCATAAGAGAAAACCACATAATGGACTGGGACAACACAAGGATCATAACCACCCAACAACAGAAATACAAAAGATGGATAAAAGAAGCTATCGAGATAAGGAGATGTGGATGTCGATGGAGTTTCCTCATTGGATCGTGCATGGGACTGCATCATCGGAGAGGGGAAAGCGGGCAGCAGAGGGCGACAACGTCCTCTGCTGCCCGTGGATAAATGGAGTAGGAAGTGATGTCACCATCAGCGTCAGCTCTGAGGATGTTTTCAGCCGCAAACGAAACATCAGCAAGGTAAGGAAAAACCTTTCATGTGTTTTAAAAAAGAACCAAAAATGGAATTTGAAGACAAACACAGCAAGAACGGGCTGCACAGTGGTTAGAGCTGTTGCCTTGCAACAAGAAGGTCCTGGGTTCGCTTCCCAGCCTGGGATCTTCCTTTTGCATGTTCTCCCTGTGCATGCGTGGGTTCTCTCCGGGCACTCCGGCTTCCTCCCACAGTCCAAAAACATGACTGTTAGGTTGATTGGTCTGTCTAAATTGTCCCTCGGTGTGTGCATGATTGTTTGTCCTGTGTGTCTCTGTGTTGCCCTGTGATGCACTGGCTCTCTGTCCAGGGTGTACCCCGCCTGATTATCCGTTGACCACTGAAGATAGGCACCAGCACCCCCCCCCACCCTCCGTGTTCTCTGTGTCTTTTGAAGCGCATTTGTAGTTCTGGACTTATTTTCACACAAAACCTAAAATATCCCCCCCCCCCCACCGTTTGAAAATAAGCACGTTCTTGGTATCAAAATGTGTCTATAAAATTCACGGACATCATGTGTGAAATCCATGGAACAAAACATGCAGAGTAAGAAAAGTATTTTTAGCCTCGTTGACTTGCATTTATTTTGTCGTTCTTCCAGGGACCAGTGGTGCGGAAGTAGGTGGGCGGGACTTAGGCTCCCTATTCTCCAATAGAAACAAGGTCTCGAAGAATATTCAGACACAAAACCAGCAGCAAGGTTCACTAACGACTTAATCAGTGAGTTGGAAGAGGTGGCTGGAGTCTACAGTCTCACCTGTCCGGTGGTGCAGAGGTGTGTGCGTGATGTCACTGTGGCTGATCAGAGCCGTCTGGAAAATGGTTGCCTCAGAGATGAGCTGGAAGGTGATGTCACGGTAACACGAGCCCGGCAACCAGTGTTTAAACACCGTCTTCCCTTTGTAGAAATCTAAAAACAAACACACACACTCTAGTCTAGCATTTTTTGTGTGGACCGTCATTGACTTCCATTCATTTTAGCGACTGGATTGTGTCTAGCACTAACCCTAACTCTAACCACAACCAGTCTACTCCTAGCCCTAACTAAACCATAACTAACACAATACCTCTAGAACTACCCAGTAGAGCTCTGGAAAACCAAAGTGAGGACCAGCAAAATGTCCTCAGCTTAGTACTAATGTCCTCAGTTTAGTACTAATGTCCTCATTTTAGTACTAATGTCCTCATTTTAGTACCAATGTCCTCAGTTTAGTACTAACGTCCTCAGTTTAGTACTAATGTCCTCATTTTAGTACTAATGTCCTCATTTTAGTACCAATGTCCTCAGTTTAGTACAAATGTCCTCAGTTTAGTACTAATGTCCTCAGTTTAGTACCAATGTCCTCAGTTTAGTACCAATGTCCTCAGTTTAGTACCAATGTCCTCATTTTAGTACTAATGTCCTCAGTTTAGTACTAATGTCCTCAGTTTAGTACCAATGTCCTCAGTTTAGTACTAATGTCCTCAGTTTGAGAGTAATGTCCTCAGTTTGGGACTAGTGTCCTCAGTTTAGTACTAATGTCCTCAGGACCAATGTCCTCAGTTTAGTACCAATGTCCTCATTTTAGTACCAATGTCCTCAGTTTAATACTAGTGTCCTCAGTTTAGTACCATTGTCCTCAGTTTAATACTAATGTCCTCAGTATAGTACCATTGTCCTCAGTTTAATACTAATGTCCTCAGTATAGTACCATTGTCCTAAGTTTAATACTAGCGTCCCCAGTTTAGTACTAATGTCCTCAGTTTGAGAGTAATGTCTTCAGTTTGGGACTACTGTCCTCAGTTTAGAACCAATGTCCTCAGTTTAGTACTAATGTCCATAGTTTAATACTAATGTCCTCAGTATAGTACCATTGTCCTACGTTTAATACTAGTGTCCTCAGTTTAGTACTAATGTCCTCAGTTTAGTACCAATGTCCTCAGTTTAGTACTAATGTCCTCAGTTATATACTAATGTCCTCAGTATAGTACCATTGTCCTAAGTTTAATACTAGTGTCCTCAGTTTAGTACTACTGTCCTCAGTTTAGTACCAATGTCCTCAGTTTGGGACTAGTGTCCTCAATTTAGTACTAATGTCCTCAGTTTGGGACTAGTGTCCTCAGTATAGTACCATTGTCCTACGTTTAATACTAGTGTCCTCAGTTTAGTACTAATGTCCTCAGTTTAGTACCAATGTCCTCAGTTTAGTACTAATGTCCTCAGTTTTATACTAATGTCCTCAGTATAGTACCATTGTCCTAAGTTTAATACTAGTGTCCTCAGTTTAGTACTACTGTCCTCAGTTTAGTACCAATTTCCTCAGTTTGGGACTAGTGTCCTCAATTTAGTACTAATGTCCTCAGTTTGGGACTAGTGTCCTCAGTATAGTACCATTGTCCTACGTTTAATACTAGTGTCCTCAGTTTAGTACTAATGTCCTCAGTTTAGTACCAATGTCCTCAGTTTAGTACTAATGTCCTCAGTTTTATACTAATGTCCTCAGTATAGTACCATTGTCCTAAGTTTAATACTAGTGTCCTCAGTTTAGTACTACTGTCCTCAGTTTAGTACCAATGTCCTCAGTTTGGGACTAGTGTCCTCAATTTAGTACTAATGTCCTCAGTTTGGGACTAGTGTCCTCAGTATAGTACCATTGTCCTACGTTTAATACTAGTGTCCTCAGTTTAGTACTAGTGTCCTCAGTTTTGTACTAATGTCGTCGTCGTCGTCGTCGTCGTCTTCCTCCGCTTATCCGGGTCCGGGTCGCGGGGGCAGCATCCCAACTAGGGAGCTCCAGGCCGTCCTCTCCCCGGCCTTGTCCACCAGCTCCTCCGGCAGGACCCCAAGGCGTTCCCGGACCAGATTGGAGATGTAACTTCTCCAACGTGTCCTGGGTCGACCCGGGGGCCTTCTGCCGGCAGGACATGCCCGAAACACCTCCCCGGGGAGGCGTCCAGGAGGCATCCTGACCAGATGCCCAAACCACCTCAACTGGCTCCTTTCGATCCGGAGGAGCAGCGGTTCTACTCCGAGTCCCTCCCGAATGTCCGAGCTCCTCACCCTATCTCTAAGGCTGAGCCCGGCCACCCTACGGAGGAAACTCATTTCGGCCGCTTGTATCCGCGATCTCGTTCTTTCGGTCATTACCCAAAGCTCATGACCATAGGTGAGGATTGGGACGTAGATCGACCGGTAAATCGAGAGCCTGGCTTTCTGGCTCAGCTCCCTCTTCCCCACGACAGATCGGCTCAGCGTCCGCATCACTGCAGACGCCGAACCAATCCGCCTGTCGATCTCCCGATCCCTCCTACCCTCACTCGTGAACAAGACCCCGAGATACTTAAACTCCTCCACTTGAGGTAGGACCTCTCCCCCGACCCGGAGGTGGCAAGCCACCCTTTTCCGGTCGAGAACCATGGTCTCAGATTTGGAGGTGCTGATCCTCATCCCAGCCGCTTCACATTCGGCCGCGAACCTACCCAGCAAGAGCTGAAGGTCAGAGCTGGATGAAGCTAGGAGGACCACATCATCCGCAAAAAGCAGAGACGAGATTCTCCTGCCACCAAACTCGACACACTCCACACCACGGCTGCGTCTAGAAATTCTGTCCATAAAAGTGATGAACAGAACCGGTGACAAAGGGCAGCCCTGGCGGAGTCCAACCCTCACTGGGAACAGGTCCGACTTACTACCGGCTATGCGGACCAAACTCACGCTCCTCTTGTAAAGGGACTGAATGGCCCTTAACAGAAAGCCACCCACCCCATACTCCTGGAGCGTTCTAGTACTACTAAGTTTAATACTAGTGTCCTCAGTTTAGTACTACTGTCCTCAGTTTAGTACCAATGTCCTCGGTTTGGGACTAGTGTCCTCAATTTAGTACTAATGTCCTCAGTTTGGGACTAGTGTCCTCAGTATAGTACCATTGTCCTAAGTTTAATACTAGTGTCCTCAGTTTAGTACTAGTGTCCTCAGTTTAGTACCAATGTCCTCAGTTTGGGACTAGTGTCCTCAATTTAGTACTAATGTCCTCAGTTTGGGACTAGTGTCCTCAGTATAGTACCATTGTCCTACGTTTAATACTAGTGTCCTCAGTTTAGTACTAATGTCCTCATTTTAGTACTAATGTCCTCATTTTAGTACCAATGTCCTCAGTTTAGTACTAATGTCCTCAGTTTAGTACTAATGTCCTCAGTTTAGTACCAATGTCCTCAGTTTAGTACCAATGTCCTCAGTTTAGTACTAATGTCCTCAGTTTAGTACTAATGTCCTCAGTTTAGTACCAATGTCCTCAGTTTAGTACTAATGTCCTCATTTTAGTACCAATGTCCTCAGTTTAGTACTAATGTCCTCAGTTTAGTACCAATGTCCTCAGTTTAGTACTAATGTCCTCAGTTTAGTACAAATGTCCTCAGTTTAGTACTAATGTCCTCAGTTTAGTACTAATGTCCTCAGTTTAGTACCAATGTCCTCAGTTTAGTACCAATGTCCTCATTTTAGTACCAATGTCCTCATTTTAGTACTAATGTCCTCAGTTTAGTACTAATGTCCTCAGTTTAGTACCAATGTCCTCAGTTTAGTACTAATGTCCTCAGTTTGAGAGTAATGTCCTCAGTTTGGGACTAGTGTCCTCAGTTTAGTACTAATGTCCTCAGGACCAATGTCCTCAGTTTAGTACTAATGTCCTTAGTTTAGTACCAATGTCCTCAGTTTAATACTAGTGTCCTCAGTTTAGTACCATTGTCCTCAGTTTAATACTAATGTTCTCAGTTTAGTACCATTGTCCTCAGTTTAATACTAATGTTCTCAGTTGAGTACTAATATCCTCAGTATAGTACCATTGTCCTCAGTTTAATACTAAAGTCCTCAGTATAGTACCATTGTCCTCAGTTTAATACTAATGTCCTCAGTATAGTACCATTGTCCTAAGTTTAATACTAGCGTCCCCAGTTTAGTACTAATGTCCTCAGTTTGAGAGTAATGTCTTCAGTTTGGGACTACTGTCCTCAGTTTAGAACCAATGTCCTCAGTTTAGTACTAATGTCCATAGTTTAATACTAATGTCCTCAGTATAGTACCATTGTCCTACGTTTAATACTAGTGTCCTCAGTTTAGTACTAATGTCCTCAGTTTAGTACCAATGTCCTCAGTTTAGTACTAATGTCCTCAGTTTTATACTAATGTCCTCAGTATAGTACCATTGTCCTAAGTTTAATACTAGTGTCCTCAGTTTAGTACTACTGTCCTCAGTTTAGTACCAATGTCCTCAGTTTGGGACTAGTGTCCTCAATTTAGTACTAATGTCCTCAGTTTGGGACTAGTGTCCTCAGTATAGTACCATTGTCCTACGTTTAATACTAGTGTCCTCAGTTTAGTACTAATGTCCTCAGTTTAGTACCAATGTCCTCAGTTTAGTACTAATGTCCTCAGTTTTATACTAATGTCCTCAGTATAGTACCATTGTCCTAAGTTTAATACTAGTGTCCTCAGTTTAGTACTACTGTCCTCAGTTTAGTACCAATGTCCTCAGTTTGGGACTAGTGTCCTCAATTTAGTACTAATGTCCTCAGTTTGGGACTAGTGTCCTCAGTATAGTACCATTGTCCTACGTTTAATACTAGTGTCCTCAGTTTAGTACTAATGTCCTCAGTTTAGTACCAATGTCCTCAGTATAGTACTAATGTCCTCAGTTTTATACTAATGTCCTCAGTATAGTACCATTGTCCTAAGTTTAATACTAGTGTCCTCAGTTTAGTACTACTGTCCTCAGTTTAGTACCAATGTCCTCAGTTTGGGACTAGTGTCCTCAATTTAGTACTAATGTCCTCAGTTTCGGACTAGTGTCCTCAGTATAGTACCATTGTCCTACGTTTAATACTAGTGTCCTCAGTTTAGTACTAATGTCCTCAGTTTAGTACCAATGTCCTCAGTATAGTACTAATGTCCTCAGTTTTATACTAATGTCCTCAGTATAGTACCATTGTCCTAAGTTTAATACTAGTGTCCTCAGTTTAGTACTACTGTCCTCAGTTTAGTACCAATGTCCTCAGTTTGGGACTAGTGTCCTCAATTTAGTACTAATGTCCTCAGTTTGGTACTAGTGTCCTCAGTATAGTACCATTGTCCTACGTTTAATACTAGTGTCCTCAGTTTAGTACTAATGTCCTCAGTTTAGTACCTATGTCCTCAGTTTAGTACTAATGTCCTCAGTTTTATACTAATGTCCTCAGTATAGTACCATTGTCCTAAGTTTAATACTAGTGTCCTCAGTTTAGTACTACTGTCCTCAGTTTAGTACCAATGTCCTCAGTTTGGGACTAGTGTCCTCAATTTAGTACTAATGTCCTCAGTTTGGGACTAGTGTCCTCAGTATAGTACCATTGTCCTACGTTTAATACTAGTGTCCTCAATTTAGTACTAATGTCCTCAGTTTGGGACTAGTGTCCTCAGTATAGTACCATTGTCCTACGTTTAATACTAGTGTCCTCAGTTTAGTACTAGTGTCCTCAGTTTAGTACTAATGTCCTCAGTTTTATACTAATGTCCTCAGTATAGTACCATTGTCCTAAGTTTAATACTAGTATCCTCAGTTTAGTACTACTGTCCTCAGTTTAGTACCAATGTCCTCAGTTTGGGACCAGTGTCCTCAATTTAGTACTAATGTCCTCAGTTTGGGACTAGTGTCCTCAGTTTAGTACAGTTTGGTACAGACTGGTACACACTCACACATGTACACACACATCTGTCTTTCTATCAAAGTGAGGACCATCCATTGACTTCCATTCATTTTTGTGACTCCACTATGCCTAACCCTAACATAACCAGCACTGATCTATCCCCAACCCTAACCTTAGCTAAAACTTGATTCACACCAGACATCTGGTAAGCTTCCAAAAAAAGTGAGGACCAATAAAATGTCCCCACTTTGACGGGAAAATTGTCTAAATGGTCCTCAGTATGTAGTAAGTACAAGAACACACACACACACACACACGCATGAATGCACATATTTTTAAATAAAGTATCTTGGGGAATGCTGCCCCCTTCTTCATCCCACAGACGGAACAGAACCAGCTCAGACCTGGCTCCGGTCATGACTGAACGAGTGGACGGACTGATGCATTCAGAACCAGATCAGGTGTGACACAGATTCCGATCACCTTTATAGAGCATGGAGCGGCGCTCTTGTCCCTCCGTGTAGCTGATGTTGACTCTGCTGAAAACAGTTCTGGACGGGGGGTCGATGTCGAACACAACACCGGTCTCCGGAGCATCCTGATAGTCCGATATGTGAGCGCTGCGAACAGGAAGTGGTTCTGAGGAGTCCAAACAGCAGCGTGATAAGTTACTGTTATTCTAAAAGGATCAAACATGAAAACTAACGTTTCACTTTTTAAATATATTATTAAACCTTTTATCTACTGCAGAGAAAATAAAACCCAAGCAAACAAGGATCCATCTGAGCAGAACTGTCATTCTTCTGCAGGAACGATCTTCTGGTTTTTACTTTATTCGTAACACAAAGTAATGCACTTTCAAAATAAAAGCTTTCGAGTTTTCTTACTGGTGAGAATCGGCACACTCCTGATGGGTCGGGACCAGCCTAACCCGGTCAGACCCAACAGTCCCACAGTGTAGACCAGACCATGAAATGATGCATTGAACTGCAGCGGCTCGCTGGTGTTGATGAACGGAATCAGAACCAGTCGAGGTTCTCCAGAGATCTGCACCGCGTAGGATGTGAAGTTCTCCAGAAGGTCTGAAGGATCCAGCGCCGCCACAATCAACCCGGCATTGTTGATAGAAACCTGGAATGCTGCCACATCCTGGAAAAATGAACAGAACAAAGCTCTAAATCAGATAGTAGGTTGGACCAGGAACAAGGACCTCAGGAGAAGAAGTCTCATGTCCACAAGAATGAAAGTCCTGATCCAGGCCAGAAGACAGAGACTCTGGGTCAGGAATTAGTTCTTGATTCTGCTTGATATGACCCGGGTTCTGAAGGGAGTCTAGTTTTCTGTCCATCTTTGTTCTGGTCAGGGTTTTTTAAGTGATGCCAGTACCAGAGACAACAGGTAAAATGAGTTCTGAAGAAACCAGAACAGCCTGGCCCACTGGCCTCTGTCTGATCTCAGCCCGTTTAAGCCCCTTTCCCACTAGCATTGGCTCTGCATGGTCTGGATAGCATAGAGAGTGTCCACATTAGCATAGCCTGCCTCTCTTCAGGGTGCAAGCAGACTGCTTTCAGCCCCATTCCTCAGGTGGTCTGCTTCAGGCGGACCACAAACCCACTGCTGACTGATAGGCCGGCTCAAATTCACACCTTCCATTAGGAGAAGCCTCCGATTGGTGGGTAGAATCAGCCCACCTGAGCTTACGGCGTTATCATGCTGATTTCCTACAAACTGAGAACTCATCTGGCTGCATTTCTTGTATTCCTAAGCAAGGATGTGAGAAATGAACTGGGCCACGCTAAAGGTTGGTTTATGCTTGACGCGTCCGCGAGGTCCGCATGGCTCCGCGCGGCCAAATTGCGTCATTTTAACAACCACGCCCCTCCACACGACCCAAAATTTCCACACCGCGCACCTAGGAAATTTTCTAGCCACGCGGACGGTCGGACGCGGAAAAACATGGCGGACCTGCAAGAACTAGTACGGCAGAGGTTGGTAAATACAGACATGTGTATGATTCAGCTCTCAGAGATCACCGTGATCAACATGTTGTTAATAATTCTTGGAGAGAAATAGCTCGCACTGTCGGAAAAGACGAGGACGCTGTTAAAAATGCTGGAATGCCATGTTGTAAACAGTAATTTCTACTTCTACTATGGTGTAGTGTTGGATGCATGCTGTAGAGCTCCATGCTGCCCCCTACAGTTTGGGAGAATATTGGCTCACCGCAGAGACGAGCCACATGAACCATAAACGCTGCGAGTTGTGAAGCGCGTTCCAGCCGCGAGCCGCATCACCAAGCGGAAAGTGAATGCGTCAAGCATAAACCAAGCTTAGACTACTGTAACTCTCTTTTCACGTGTCTGAGCAGAACCTCCCTGAACCGTCTACAGGTGGTTCAGAACGCCTGTGCTCTGCTTCTGACCAAGTCCTCCAAGCACACCCACATCACCCCGCTTCTCCTCCAGCTTCACTGGCTGCCAGTCAACTTCAGGGTTCATTTCAAGATCCTGGTTCTGGTCTATAGGGCCTTACATGGACAAGCACCATCTTACATTGGTGATCTTCTTAGTCCCTGCACCCCCAGCAGGTCCCTGAGGTCCAGTGATCAAAGCCTACTGGTTGTGCAGCACCAAAATCTAAGCTCAGCTCGGCAGTGACCTAAAATACATAAATATAATTTTACTTACCGAAATAAATGAAGTGGAGACTCCTTGGACGCTCTATTAGTGCAATTAATGCCACAGCAAGTCATTTTGTCCAACAATTGCACAAATAATATCCAAACAAGAACACACACACAGAGACTCAAAATCCCGGAGCAGTTTCCAGGCCAGGCCGAGGCTCTACTGAGGCCTTTCCACGGAGCTAGCTCTGTGGTCACGTGGGTCTGATGCTCATTAATTATACAGAATTTTAGGCTTTTAATACACTTAAACAGAAGAGTGAGAAAAAGATTCACCCCCCTCAGAGTTGTCATGAGTGTAAACTAGATCATTTAAACCTAAAACATGTTCTGGTACCAGGCTGTAAACATGTTTATTTCTGCTGTTAAATTGGTATTTTTAACATGGGAGTCAATGAGGATTTGCTGCTTCTGACACCAGCCCCTAGTGGATGAGGGTGGAACTGCAATTTTTGGTACTTCCGGGATTGCTTCAATTTTTGAGCCGCATTGTGGGGGCTCGGTTACCCATTGTATTACAAAAACAAGTAAAAAACGGTTTCTCAGTGAACTTGGTCTTTAACGTTAGTGTATTGAACACTCGTGTTATTTAATCTGGTTTAAGTGGACCAGGGGAAACAGTGGTACCAGACTTCTGACCCACTGGTTCTGAAGCGATTGAGTCTGTTATTTAATGAAATCTCACAGCAGGAGGAGCGACTCCTCACTGCTTCCCAGAACCCCGGAAATAATCTCAGAATCTCCTCAGCTTGTTCTGACCCGTTGGCAGAACTCCAGCCCGGTTCTAACTGGAGGTTTGATTGGTGGATTTAACCTCAGCAGACTTCCTCTCTTGTGTCTGATGCAGCATGTCAAGTGCAGCACTGCAACACCAGACAAGAGTCGGAACCAGCAGATTATCCATCCTGACCCAGATTCCTAATCTGTCATTTGAAACCTGGAGTCGGTGAACATGTGCTGCAGCGTGGCTGGGTGGATTTATCTGGGATAGGGAGGCACAGCTTCTCTTCCTTGGTTTGGTGCGTTTACAGCTGTTCAAGCAGGACATGGACCTTCATCACCGCCTCTCCTTGTTCCGCCTTTCCCGGGATCCACGGATTTCCCTCCTTCTTATTCATTTTCTCTCTCCCTTTCCTTGCTTTTTAAATCACAGTTCGTTATTTTTTATGTTATTATTATTATTTTCTTCTAATTGTAACTATTTTTAAATCATTTTTTGGAAGATAAATTTTGTGTTTTGAACGTTTTGGTTCTTGTGAAGCGCCTCACGGCTTTCGTCTCGAGAGGCTCTGTATAAAAGATCGGTTTCTTGCTTTTCTTTGTGATCATATGAAGTCAGGCGGGAGGCAACCCACATTCCCCAGAACTCCATGGAAGGAAAAACATTCCCTTTGCTTTTGAAATGTCTTCAGATTTCACCAGAACTCATCCGATCAACAGTTTTTAATCCTGTTAAAAACAAATGAGATTATAATCCGGCTCAGTGGCCTGGTGGTCTGAGTGTCTGCCCTGAGACTGGGAGTTGCTGGTTAAAAACCAGTGGGCTTTGGGTCAAAAGTGGAGAACACAGTTCACCAGTGTAACTTTTAAATGGCCAAGCATAAGCCACGCCCATCAACTTCCAGACCAATGAACGGGAGTCTGAGCCACTAAAGGTAATTCTGATGCCCTTTGATCTTTAGGATGTGCTGGAGAAGGCTTTGAGCAGCGCTCCGACTCCACCGTCAGTGAAACATTAACGCAGCGCTGGATGGAGATGCACCTGGTGATGCTGCAGAAGCTTACGGAAACAACGCCACAGCCAATGTGTGTCGTAGTCGCAGCTGCAGGCGGTCCAACCGGACTTTAGACCTTCTCTTGGCCAGTCGGTGTAAAATACAAGCAGATGTGGTGCAAATACGACATTCTGGAAAGTTAGAACTGAGGGGAAGAATTAAAACAGAAATGAAATTTCTTGCTGCTTTCCTGGTTCATTTATTTGATTTTCATGTTTTGCTTTTGCTCGTAGACGTTAAGTTGTGAATAACTGCAGGAAAAATGATGCCCTGCGGCGTTTTTGTCAACAGTATTAAAATAAGCTTCGAGGGTTTATCCGAATTCTTTCTCTTTGATGAGCTGCACCCAGATCAGCTGATCTCAGCTTAGTCCATAGATCATATGTACAAAGTTTGAAGTTGATTCGACGAAAAATGACGGATTGGTGTTTAAAACTCAGTTTTGCGTTTTTTGTGAACTAGCAAATAATCTAGTTAGGCGGAAATGGGCGTGGCCAACACAAAAGAGATGCAGAATCATCCAAGGATCATGTACATATAAAGTTTTTGACTGTAGGACCTACGGGTTGGCCCCGCCCAGGTACGTGAATCGTGTTCACATCTGGGTAACCTGTGTGTTTCCGTGCTCAGTCCACCGGTTTATTTTGGACCGACCCAACACACCCACTACCGACTGATCATCACGCTTACCTAGAGGGAGCACCTGATTGGCAGGTAGAATCAGCCAGCGGCAGCTTCCTGCATGCGTGCTTCATTATCAGTCTGGAGGCAGTGGAGTAAACATCCTGAGAGCTGACCAAAGTGCTGCACGTTCATTAAAAACAGGTAAAACAAGACAATACAGTCCAAATAAAAGCCATCAATAAAAATAAAAATGAGTAAAGAATAATAGAGTTCCTACAAACATCATTTAAAACAGCGAGAGAGGATGCCCGTCTGTTCCAGAGCCCGGCAGTAGTGCACAAAAAACGCCCGCTCACCGCGGGACTCGTAACGCAAACGGTGGGTGCACAGCGGCAGCAGGTCGGCAGAGCTTAACGCATGTGCAGGGGCGTATGGGTGAGGAGGTCAGAGAGATAAGGTGGAGCGAGGTCATTCAGAGCCTCGATTACAAAAGTCAGTCGTCTGAACCGAGTGTAACCGGACTCAGCCACGCCGCTTTGCCCTAAGCACCTAAATGTTCTGCGTTGCGTAAAGCCTCATTCATACATCCCCGTCTGCGTCGGGTGCATGCAGCGCCATCATCCGTCTTCCGAGGGTTCTCGGACAGGCTCGCAAGGACGGACGGGGTCGAGCTCTTTTCTAAAGCCTAATTAATGCTCCATCAGCTCCGCGAGGGAGACATGCACGCACGGAGACGTTTGGCCCTCAGACTTCTTCATCTGCTGGGGAATGTCGCAAAGCAATTCCCCGTCAGGACGCCAGAGGGCGTAGCGCTGCTCTGTGGTATCCGGTCATGTATCCGGTCCAAGATAGTGTGTTTATATTGTGTTTGTTTTGTATTTTTTGCACCAAAAGAAAAAAAATACACAAATGTTTGCATGTAAATTATTAAAAATTAGATACACCGCCTGTGAATATCAATATATTATTGCAGGAAAAAATATCATGATATATTGCGATAGCGATATCTTCGATACACAGCGTTTGAATATAGAAATAGTATTGCTGGGGGAAATATCGCGATATAT